TTCCACTCTTTTAGTCATTGTATGATAATTGTCTCCACTCCACTGAACGTTTTTAGATGATACTCTCAACAAATCTGTTTATTCTTCCTTACCTTCTGCTACCTTTTGTATCTCTATAAAATAAAATAAAATAAAAGGCATAATAAACTTAGAGAAGAAAAATAGCCTTGCAAAGTCAGCACATCAGTAAATGTACTGTCTAACTCTTCTGTAACAGCAGCTGCTGCCAACATTGTGATTTCCGCACAGGGTTTATACTTCCTCCTGCCACAGTGTCAAAATACTCATTTTGCCAATGTGTAAGATTCTCAGGATTTTCATTCCTTTTCAGCTTCTCTCCAACAAGAGAGGTCTACTAAACCAGCCTTATTTTGACAAATGTAAGTATTGTTAAATAATTTAAATTGTAAGTTATTAGAAATCAGAAGCTTTTTAAGTATCTCAGGTTTCAAAATATTTCTTCATCCTCATTTCAGCTTCCTTAAATCAGTTCACTCAATTTTTCCCTTCTTTGTCATCATTACTTCTTGTATTACTTTTCCCTAATTTCAATTTCAGAACAACTCAGTAACATTTTTCATACTACCTTTAATATTAAGGTTGTACATTGTAATTTCTACCACCATGTCTACATCACAGACTTTGCAAAAAATAAATATGATCAGATGCATTCAGCAAAAAAATGTAAACAGAAAAATTAAGAAACATGTCAGGAAAGAAAAGATTATTCAAGACATGTAGTGACTGAGGAAGGGCAGAGAGAAAGTGCAGTGAAAGTGCTACGCTCAGTACCAGAAGCACAGAGAATGTTGTGGCCATTCTGAGTACACACATTCAGGATTTAAAAATAAAGCATAAAAGCGTAAAACCAGAAATAACAATGGAGCAAATATGGCTATGCCTTTAGCTCTTTTCCTTGCCAGCAAGATCACCAGCCACTGATAAAGGGATAGGTCAGAATTATTAGTTCTAAATTCATGAACCTATTTCATCTTGATAGTGCTTCAAACATTTTAACAGATCCAATCACTGCATTACCCAGTCAATAAGCCAAAACCAAACAAAAGCTCTATACCACTGAATTCAGGAGATTCCTCATTTTATGCCTTCTGTTTATTAAAAAAGTACATAATGTCTCAAATTAGAGACATTGAGTCAACCCACCAACTCTTCTGCTCTCATGAAGTCATAGGATAACATTTCTCTAAAATTGCACAAAGTTAAAGAAAAGCAGACACAATCTAGTGAAGCCAGTTAAAAAGTAACTCTGCAAAGGCTCTTCAACAAAGACAGGTCTATTAAACCAGCTTTATTCTGGCAAATGTATTGATTATGCATCTTTATTACAACAGAATTTACAAGCTAAAAGATGCAACATTTGAACCGCTCATTACTAATTTTTATTATTTAGTCTAGTCTTAAAACATCTTTCAAATCATCTTTGCAAGCACTAGTGTGTGCAGACAGTCTTAACTCCTCTGTTTCCCTACGAAAAGACACTACAGCAAGCCACCAATGTTTAAGTAAGAGAAACACATTCACAAATTATTCTGTTTGGTCTATTTAATCTCTGCTATCAGTCTGATCCTGCCATCAAAATAATGAAATCTACTGCTCACTGAGAGAAAATCAAATTAAAGATCTCACAGTATTTCTAATAATTCTTTTCCAATACAGGGAATAAGTCTGCATTTCACCCTTCAAGAACTCACATTATACTTTACATTACCAGTGAGCTGAAGTCTCAACTTCTCAGTGGTACTACTAGTACTTTTTCCATCACTTAATCGCTAACTAGATCTTACGGATGCAGCACTATAAGATGAAACGGTTTGAAATGACAGTTGGAATAAAAACTCCAACCTTTTCTAGCCACCTCCAATCCAGAGTTCCTAAAAAAAATAATCTTCTATTCTACTGTTTGTTACCATATTAACATGACTACAGTTCTCTACATGGCAGCTGTTATTAACAACTAGTAGTCTGGTTTTTTTTTTACTCATGACTATCTTGGCTAAGATATACAGTGAAGGGGAAGATCTCCCTAAGTTTCATTATCGGATCTTAAAGAACCATCCTTACAAAAGAATTGAAAACATTTTCTTTGTACCTCCAAAAACAGAAAAGCAAATCAAGCTGTCATGTCTTTTTGTGACGTTAAAGCAGAATGCAGTACCATTTATTTTGAGCAGATATGGATCTGATATAATTGAGTCAGTGGAAGGGGAAAAAAGTTGAAAAGGTAGTATTCGAGAACTAACAATGCTTACACTGAAGAAAGCATCACACCAGAAATAAAAAAAAAATTCACCCACTGTACTTCAGACAATGCATATTTTGTATACTGAGTTAAAGAAAGAGAACTACTATGGCAGCATTAGTAAAACCATTAGTAAAGTTTGCTCTGGATTGTAAGGTGAGAATCTGTATCACACTTTTACTGAAATCAGTGGGAGAACAAACTTGACACAATTCTCGAAGGCTAAATTTAGATCCTGTACTTAGTCAGTAGTGTCTCGTGCCAACAGAAGTCAGTTTTAATTATATTCCTGTGATAATGTGTACTTTAAAAGCCTCTTATACATACAAAAATGCAGAATCCAATCTTCACCAAGAGATAAATTTACTCCTCTAGATCAAAAAAAAGTATTAAACAAACACAGATTTTGAAGGTGTTTCCTCATTAGTCACATGCTCACTAAGATGTAACAAATCAAGGCAGCACTGCGAACCAAGACACAACTTTCTCATGCGGACCTGCAAGAGATCCTAATCCCGGGGTAAAGCGATTGCTATCTCTAGACAGCATTAGCAGCATAATCTGCATGCAACTACTGGGATGAGAAGTATTTTCTAAAGTCAGTTAATACGAAATAATACTGTAGTAACTTGGTGCATCGACTTCCACTTAATGGGTCCTGACTGTAAGCTGCAAGTCAATGCTGCAGGCCACGGAAGAAGAAAGCACTACTACACTGGCACGCAGGCCCATCTGAAAAAGATCAAGGGAAAGAATCTTTTAGGGGTAAAGCTGCAAACAGGTCACTAAAATCTGACCCTAATGCTATGCACAAAGATTCTTCATTTGCAATGACAGGACAGGATTAAAATCGCCGCTAGTTCTCACTAAGGTTTCTAGACCAAGAAATTTCCAAAATATTATTCAGTTTGTGAAATAACTTGTTCACAGCGCATATGAATATTAACATCCATCAGGCAACACCCAAATACCTAAAAACACAAGTGGAGTTGTGTGCCAATAACAGCCAGTAAACAGACAGATCTAAAGGGGACAGTTCACACATGCTGCTTTCTCTTCTCCTCACTGCCACAGAATAATGCCTGCCAATTTCTAGAGAGTCGAGTATACTTCTCCATTTAGTGTTTTGTTTGACGGCCAACAATGCAGTCAGGACATACAAAAATACCCAAAAGACTTGATGTGTTAGGTCTTGAAAGATGGAAATAACAAAGCATAACATTAAAGGTTTTTTCCAACCTTTAACTTCTCCACATTTCTTTGTACTCCTTGGCATTGACAAACATATTAAGTACTAGAAAGCTAAATCTCAATTCTTTCCCTCTCTTTCAGAATATCACTCAATCTGTAACTGACACTAAACAACAAGTTATTTGTATTCAGATAAACTAAAACCAAAAAAGTCATCTGTATTCATACTAGTCAGCTATATGTTATCATATTAACTCTGTCTTGGCCTTAACATTTTCTCAAGGAACAAACTCCCCCAAACAGCAAGCGTTGTTTAGGAATCAAACTTTTTTCTTTGTAGTTATAGCATAGCCAGCCTTATAGCAAAAACTTACAGGTAAAAACAAATTACAGACATTTCTAAAAGGTAAATAATTTCCTCAGGTAAACAACATATCTGGCAGAAAGGGACTGAAGAGAACCACACAGATAATGTCAGAATTGTCCAACTGAAAAGCAGAAGGGCATGCAGTTGTTTAAAAAAGGATCAGATAGATACATAATCCACCCAAAATACACTTTTTCTGCTGTTTTTATTCCAAGGTTGACAAGTTATTTAACTTTATAAAACAGGATTAATATTTTGGCTGGGAAGCAAGAATCTTGTCCTCTCCATTATAATCTTCAGTATCGCCTACCTGGATCTTCCTACTTTCTGTTCACAATAGAACTTAGATGAAAATTTTGGCTTCTAGTTCGTAGTCAAATCCTGCCTTAGTTTTCAGTTGAAAATTAAAAAGATGGCTAGTTATGGCTCCTCAACCACACTCATCAGGAAAATAAAGAATTCTCGCAATGCCAATTAGATTAATTTTTAGAGGGGATTGTAAAAACCCCAAGATTTTCCCACATAAATGGGGATGCGCTCACATTCTAATTCTGGGTCTTTTAGAGAAGAATGCAACAATAGTAACTATCAGCTATGGTTTTGTTATCAAAACATTGATTTTATGTTTCTGCTCTCCTTAGTCCACAAAATGAAAGACTTCCCTGCTCTATATTATTTCTTATGAGAAATAAGAGATCAATAGCTAGCAACTTTCAAGAATAGACAAATACTGCCCACATTCTTCAACTGTTATAAAACCAGATGAAAGCCGGTTTCTCTTGATCAAGAAATCCTATATTCCCCTCTTCATTCCCTCCTTTTTAATTAATGAAAAAGCAGCAAGACTGCTTAATGATGACCAAACAGCTTTTCCATAACAGAAACAGATGAAGGCTGAAGAGATATGAATATCTGCAACTTTAACAAACAAGTTAAATTAAAAGGACCCCCGTACCATATCCTAAGAAAGCTCAGTTTCTCCAGGTCTAACACAAAAGCATACTCCTAAACCAAAAATATTAATAAAATAACATACATTTCTGTAATGTAATCAAACAACAACAAAACCCCCCAGAATACTGTACATATAGCAAAGAAAAGCAACTTGTAGCAACAAAGGTACAAACTGGTGACCGAGACTGCAAAGAGACAATGTGAGGTAAACTGTTAATGAAGACTTACCTCCAGAAACTGGGGCATCCATGAAAACAGCTCCCATTTTTTCAACAGCTTTGGCTAATTCTTTTGAAACTGCTGGGTCAATAGTACTGGAATCTATTAGCAATGAGCCTTTCTTCACTTTCCTAAAATAAAAATGATTTGTTGTTGCTGCTGTTGTTGTTATTATCAAGTTTTGTTTCACAGGACACCTGTAATTATTACCACGGCACTGGTTTTCCTCAGCATGATAAATTTATAGACACTTTGTGGTACCCAGAGAAACACAAAGTTTTAAACCCTATTGAGCAAGATCTGATCAATATTTATACTGCTGATTATGTATAGCACGCAGTTTTGAATCCCTCAAAGCCTAATAATACCTGAACACAAAAAAGGATGTTCCTCCTAAATGCTATTATGAAAAATTACACAAAAAGGGTGCACAAGGAAAACCTGCCATCATAAAAGTTTGAACAGTATATCCAGACCATCTAAGATGCATTCTAAGCAACTGACCTAAATGTTGATTCAGCCTAAAATTCAATATATAACAATGCAATGTTCTTTTTATATACACAGTATCTTAATTTCTTAGCAGAATATTCTGATTTCATTCTTTTAATCATTGCTACTATTTATTCCACATAAAGATCATAACTAAGACCACAAAAACCTACAGAAGATTTGAAGTGAAGCATGGAGAAAAATCTTGTTTTCCCAATGATAGCTAGTAAATTTAGGCAGAAGAACTGTAGAACAGAGGAAGTTGCATATGTGATTTAAAAAAAAAATTAAATTTTTAAATTAAAAAAAAAATTGAATGCCCTCCATAATAAAAAAGTTGAGGGTAGCTGTTTTATCCCTCTTTCCATTGAATTACACCATGATTTCAAGTCCACTTGACCAGCATTCACCATGAAATCAAACAATACAGTTTTTCAGTCATAAAATGGTGGCCCATTTAAAGCTTCACTGCACCTTCCATGGTGCTGGCAGTACAGTGATTTTCACTTCACTGAACTACCTAGATTGCTGGAAATAGTCTCTCAATATATACATATGGCTGTAGACGCCACTGGAGCTCCAGACCCAAACAGTGTTCCATACATAAAACTTGTCCTTTTTCATGGGAGGTGTGACCTGCTGCACACAGTTTGAACACATGCAATGAAAACCAGCATGCAGATAAAGTACTCCATCGTCTCCCCTTGTGCTCCGAAGAAGGAGCAGTGGAAGCTCCTTGGTAACACAGTGGGTATCAATGTTTTCTTCAGTAAAGCTTAAAAAGCTTTAGAAAATTAAGAAAGTCAATTCAGTCAGCAAGGACCAGGTCTTGAGTGTCACTCAGAGATACAACCACTACTGCCAAATTACACTTCCTTCTCTTAATACAGAGGCTGAGAAACTGCAGCAGCATAGGACTGCTTTCCACAGCCTCTGTTCCCTGCAGGATTTTCTGCATCTATGTACTTAAAAGATTAACTGGCTGTACTATGTCAGTAAGTACTGCCAATTGTTCGTCAAACCCCTGTCATCCTGGATAGTTCTCCCACAGCTGTTTGCCTGGCTTTGTGGGACTGAGCCAATTACCCATCTTCCCTGAAGGGTCTGAGGTATGGATACTTAGATCTGCTCAGTCCTACTTTGTGAGGAATTAAACTACAGACCAGTCAGGGAAGGAAGCAACTATTATTCCTATATAGCAACAACAACAGAAATCCCTCTCCTTCACTTCATTTTCTTATCAATGCATCTTAATATTGTACAATCAGTACCTAAAAAGACATCACCAGTTTTTGGCAATCTACTGTACTTTTGTCTTCTGTATGTTTCTTCCTTGACATTATTAACCTTGATAGCTGTAAGATGCTACATGATCCTCAGAGGTTATCCAGTAGCCTTAGTCGGCCTGCCAGGAGTAATGCACACATGGCCAGAACAGACTTTTAAATACTATTTATTTTTTAATTTGGCAAGTACAAAAACTCTGAGCGATAGATTTCTGCAAACTATGCATTTAAGGTTTAGTGGCAATCCCTTCACAAAAGTTAAAATCCACTGTTTCACATTAAACAAACTTGTTAGCTATTTTCTTGTGTAATAAACAGACAAGTAAGAGGAAAATCAATATAAAGTCTTGTCAGCTTTCTACGTTAATATACTTTAATACCATAAGACAAAATGACGTCTCTTCAGAACATTTAATTTATAGGATTTCAAGTAAAAGAAAAAATGAGCAAATAATTGTTGCTAGAAAATATTCTAGTTATACCTGTGTGTAGTACATTACATTAGGGCAAAAGAAACATGTAAGTGGAAATGCAGATAACAGTCGTTAAATTATGTCAAAAATAAAATTAAGACTGCAGCCAAAAGCCATTCAGAGCCAAGCACTGTATAAGAGAACTCATATAATTAGAAATATCAATACTGACAGAACAGAGAACATTGAATTAAGTGCCCTGAAGGCACAGCAAGAGTTACAGCAACAGGGATCATCTGACAAACAACATGATACAGCCTTAAGTAGGAGTGGGAATTCTCTAAACTACAAAAAATTCTTACTTTAGAATTCCATTTGCTCCTGTGTAAACTTCTCTCACATTGGGACTAGAAGGCAGCATGGTAATAATTCTGTCTGCTCGTTCTGCTACATCTGCTGGGGATTCTGTTACCTTTTAAAGGAAAAAAAAAATATAAGCTTACACTTCCTGAAACAGAGACATCAGACATGTTTGTTGAATTTGTTTTTAGTATTCATCCGTCACAACTTAGCTAGTTGAAAAAAATTAAAACACTAGAAAAATTGCTCTCCTAATGAAAATGTTAGTTAATTGTATCCAGTAATAGAAAAATAAAAAAATAAAAATGAAAAGGATTTGCTATCATGGAAGTTCCTCCACATCTGCCAAGGGGGATGCTTGCATCCCATCAACTTATTCATGAATCTTCAATTCCTTAAAAACCATGCATCTATACAAAATATTGCTCTGCAATGTTTCTAAGGAGGAAAATATGAAGGACCACAAAAATCTCACTTTTCTTCCTATCTTATATATGATACTGGAAGAGAGGAAGACTGAGGAAAAAAGAAAAAAATTATTTAATGTATCTCTGAGGCTCACCTTAAAAAAAAAATCAGATAAACTAACTGCTGTTTCTCACAATATTACAGTTGGCATTTTTTTTAAAAAGAAAATTATCAGCTCAAGCATTCTTCACAAAGAAAGATCTGAACAATTTTCAAAATATAGTATTAGGTACTGGTTGTCAAACAAACATACCAAACTTTAAAGGGATATTACCTTTCCCAGATCACTTTCAGAGAAATATTGACAGCTAAAGCTGAATTGTACTCAGAAGGCATTTACCACTACAACTTTTGTCCAGTACTGGTTTGAAATAATTCTTTAAAAATTGCATTGTTAATACATTCATAGATAAGGGAAAACAGCAACAAAAAATACAGCTAATTCTTTTATCTTTAGCCCACAAGGATCAAATCTGATTTCAGTCATTCAGGTAGTTTTACAGAAACAACTTAAGTTCTAGGTAGAAAACAAGATGAGCAGAAAGTAGATTTTGTTTGTGAATAGGACTTCTAGTATTTATTTTCCAGCTATCGTTGCTGAATGATGAGAAGCAACCTTAGTATCTCAATGATCTGTTCTGCTACATATGTTATATGCCTTGAGTTTTTAACCTTAAGAAATGTCTTAAAATTTTACATGCACTTCTTAGTGTGAATAAATTAGAATTTCCATATCACATGACTCTAGGGATAAAGAAATTGCAGCTGAACAGCTACCCAAAATTATGGAGACTTTCCATAGTGCGGAAAAATCAACAAATCGTTGAGCCTATTTCACCATTCCCTCTATTTATAAATACAAGTATTTGTTATAATTTTTGTTAGTTTTGACAGTAAAGATCCTAATGTAAATATATTCTCTTTTTTATATACACTACATTTATAAGGTCTCAGAATCAAAGAAGGCATGTTATATACACATTTGTAAGGAATGTTGAATAAGGACTTCTGGGATACAGCATGAGAAACTTCTTGATTTGTATTTATAAGTAAAAGAAGGGAAGACTGTATACAGTCACTGAACAAAGCTCTTGAGAAAAAAAAGTACAGAAACTGGCATAGATGGGACTTAGGAACACCCAGATTTTATTTGAAAGACTAAGTTAATACTGCACAAAATATCTGGTATACCATACAGTTAAAAAAGGAAATGTGTTTTAGTCTAAAGAACAAAGGTTAGGAGGAATAAATGAGGTAATTATAAGAGCAAAGCTTTTCTATTTGATTAGTTAATTTTATGACTTGACTCCCTGGAGACTGGAGTGCCTATCTCTTTATATAGGAGCATGACACCTTTGTCTTTAGTTTCAAGTATCTCTGGTTCAGTTCAGTCCCAATGTGTATTATTAGAGGAGGAGAGAGGTAGTGCAATTGGAACCTGAATTTATATATGTCCTCTTATTTGAAACTATTATGTCCAGTATTCTTAGGGGTTTGCAAGTTATCACCTGAAGACTCAGTGGCCCATTTGCATCTTTCAACCATAAGTTGAAAAACATATTATATTGTGCACACAACTGAAAAACTACATCAGCCTCAAATTTCTACCTGGCTACAAAGATGGAATATAGCTGGGGTAGAATATAGCTGGGTTTTGATTACAGTTTTAAACAGTTCTTAAGGAACACAGATACACAGACATGGTCAATAGTCACCTACACAGAAATTAATTTATTCCATCCATGTCTTTCAAAATACTAACATGCCTTTTATATGAAGCAAATGAGATTAAAAATGCATACAGATTAGGACAGTACTTCCACAACCATATAAGGAAAAATCTTTCTGCTACCTTGAAGTAAGTAGCAAAACAAAGTGGGAATTAAAAGTGGGAATTGCCACTCTTAGCTTTTTGATACCGTTAACAAATATGAATTATATTTTCTGAGGAAATCTACCTACCTGGTTCAGAAAGCAGCATACAAAACTTTTATTTTGGGACTTCCTGTCTCAGAAATAAATCTGAATGATTTGAAAGCTATTGCAAAGCATTAAGCATTCAAAATCATTAAGAATGTGCATAACTTTAAAAAATATACCAAATACTAATTGTTCATTACCAACACAGACCATACTGGCTCAGAGTAGCAGCCCACGGAGTTCCGTACATGTTCGGATACTTGTTTGCTTTTCAACCAAACTTTTTCAGTATGCAACTGGATAGGGGAAACTTTTCTTCATACTGGTCATTGGGTTTGCCCTTCAATATGTGCATCTGCTTATATTTGTTCCAAGCTGCTTCCCTATTTTTTATTTATTTTTGCGGTAAGTCAATTAATAATTCTGTGAGCCTAAAATGCCATTATTACTGTACACTGAAGAAAGCTCTATTTTTATGATGCTTTATGCATCAGATGACTTCAGTTACACTCTCAATCTTCTAAATCTGAGATAAGATTCAAAGACATGTAAACTGAAGTAAAGTAACTGTGTGACACAGTTACTCCACTGCGTAAAAAAAAATTGGTAAGTATGGTAAATATGACGAAGGGGAAAGACAGTAAGTAGAGTGTAGAGGCAGCCTACTTGCTCACAGTCTTGTTCAGTATTTTCCCTTGTTTGTAGCCTTCCAACTTTCTCCCAAGTTTCACCTCAAGTGGTTCCATATGCTCCAGCTGAGCCAGTTTTCCTCTTACTATTCACCATTACTAGGAGGGTGGCTGGTTCCTGATATATACTACCTCCCAGTTCTTTAATTCAGAGGCTAAAGAAAGGAGAGTCACAGATTATGCAGATTAACGGTCCAACATCCTTCATCCTCCATATACCTTGGTAGCAGCACTGGCCTTAAACAATGGACATTTGGCTAGATTTACAGTCTCTTGGGGTCATTTCACCTCTGTAACACTCCTGATGATTTTACCCTATCAGCCAGACCAAAGAGAAAGCAGCCCTTAGAGCCCAATGTTCCTTCTACAGCAGTTTCTACAAGGCCCCACGGACCCACAAGTTTTCAACTCCTGAAAAAAGTGTTAGGGTAGGATTTACACCTATAGATCAAGAAGAGAAAGCTATGTTCACATATTTTCCTGAAGTGTGTTTTATTTGTATTTAAGCCTACCTATGTATTCTCTTAGTGATTTACAATCTTAAAACATACTTTTGACTTTATTTTTAAAAGCATTATAGTTCACCTTTATTATCACATGTTAAGTCTTGCAGCGAATGCCAAGGATTCTATTACAAGGGCAAAAAGCTAGCAAAATGGGCAGCCACAGCAAAGAGATCCTACTGCAGAATACGAATTAAAAATACAACCAATTGTTCAAAACAGATTCCCATTTGCCCAGTTTCTTACTCAAAGACAGGTCTGTTTCATGCCTGAGGGTCTCGGCTGCTTTAACAAAATAAAAACAGGAGCTAGGAAAAGAAGCTGAAAAGCTTACTTTCCCACTTAAGGCCAAGATTCTGTAATTATTCAAGGGGAGCTGAAATTAATTACTAACGGGTGTACTTTATCATTTTATCTTTCATGAATCTTGATGTTATCTCACTATTTAAAACAGCTGCAATTAGCTCCAGCAGTTTAGACTTTCAAGGCACACAGTTCCTCTATCTAGATGTACCTACAATTTCCTTGCCACTGCTGGAAAATTCCCTCCTATCCTTAATACTGTTACATCAGAGTATTATTTTTGCATTGCGCTCCTTACTTGAGTATGTTCTTTTGTTCCAGTGTTTTATGCACCTACCCATCTGCCCACAACTGTCTAAACTGTTAAAGCTTTGAAGTATGTCAAAACAATTCAAAGGTGTTTCAGACACTTAGAAATGACCCAGCCACCTCAGAGACTGAATGGGGTTCCAGGAGTATTAACAGATCAATAAAACGCATAGGACTAGCTGGAAAAGGGCCAAGATTTTTCAGGGTATACGGCAGGAAGGTAAACCTCCTTAATGTAATCAATTCCTTCCCTCCTTTTTCCTTTTCATTCCTTCCTCTTCTCTCACCGTATCCTTCCTCATCTCCAAGAGAATAAGCACTGAAATAATTAGATTTTTCCCCTGCCCCTGAGGACTGCACCTTGACGCAGCAGGAAAGCTCATATGTCCCTATAACCCTTATAGCTATGCCAGCAGGAACTTTTAACTAGGGTCATTTAACCTGAAAAGGTCAAAGTAGGAACCAGATGAAAAGCAGCCCACTGGCCATCTAGACCTGGGGGAGAAGGAAGCAGGAGAAAGGAGGAGGTGAAAGAACAGGCCATCAACCTATTCTCATAAAAACGGGAGGGGAAAAAGGAGCCAGAGAAGTTCGACAAAGTAGCAATTCTGGCTAACAACAGGAAAATTACTTAGGTTAGAATCATATCTTTGCTCCAACTGAAACCTTACAGATTCACATTGCATTCATTGTCCTGTTTTAGTTCTGACTGTGATCTTAATCAAGAAAACAAACGCAGATGATTTAGTTGCATTGCATGCAAGAACCATTCAACACAGTTATTGTTGGAATAAAGGAAGTTTATTACTATACCTGAGCACCCAAGTCTTGAAATTCTTTGCAAGCTTCTGGGAACACATCATATGCAATAACTGGATATCCATGTTTCACCAGGTTTTTTGCCATTGGATTTCCCATGTTACCCAGCCCAATGAATCCAACTGGGGTTTTGGAAGCCATAGTCCTAGAACACACTGATTTCAAAAAAAATAAAGATCATTACATTTGTATTTCAGAGTAGTGCGTAACAATAACGTAATAAAAGCTACCATGAAATCTGATTTCAATGATTTAAACAGTTTTATGTTTAAAGAAAAAAAGTGGAAATGTGAATCCTATTCTACACAGTTTAAACCATAAATTATAGTTCACTTTGGCCCACAAATACCACCCCAGAATGATTTTTCTACATATCAAAGAAAATTATTGTAATTAGGAAAATGTGGGTGTTTCAAAAGATATAGCAATAAAGCTGAGCTCTGAGAAGAGCTCAAACACAGACTTAAAATACACAGGATTCTCTGTATTTTATTAGGTGTCTAAATCCTAAACTGGATATGGAAAATCCAACTTTATATATATTTTACAGACTCTGTATTTGCAACTTCGCTTGCAGCCTTGGGATATAGCACCTGTTCTCTAGAAATGGACCGAGGCTGCCACTTTATTTCATGCACTTCCTCACAGATAACTGGATTCTTCTGATCCTACCATCAGATACAAGCCACTAACCTAAAGACAAAAACCTCCATACTAAATCATGGTAAAACCCTTTGAGCCATGTAATCACAATTTAAATACTGGAAATTAGAACCAAATATAGTATAAAAACAAAATCATGAAGTCTTTGCAGGAATAACCTCTATATTCTATTTACCATACTACCAAGACAGAACTATGAAGCATAACCTACAATTTGTGGAAAGCACCACAATTTCAGTGAGCTATCTTTTATAAGTAGTTAGTGAGTATCAAATGCTGGACAGTAGCAGCACTGCAGGCATTTGTCTACTGCAATCACTATCTCATTACTCTAAATCCAAAGGCAGTACAATTGGACAGTGAGTAGATTTCTTTGCCAATTACATAAAATACTTTCTCCTTTACGACAGAGGAAAAAGCTATGCAGAATGAACACTGAAGTGTGGCAACTAAGCAGCTAGAAACAAGGCTAACTAACTACAGAATTACTGTAACTCTGAAGAGCACATACAGAAAACGTGCCTAAGCTGGATCGAGACTCTAAGAGGTCTCAATGCTTAGCAAGGAATCCTCTCTAGGCCACTAACACTTCATTAATCATTTTAAAGTCTTTCTGACTTTAAGCTCCTACTTAGCCAGCAATGGTCATGCTCTTTCATCTGCAGCACTATTCTGAAAGTGCCACATTTAATAAATCAGGTTTGTTGAGAGAATTTTGTTCTGAGACAGTTTCCACAGATGCCTGCAGCAATTACATAGCTAGAGAAGTAGCACTATTTAAAATAAATCTGCACTGGGAAAATGCTTAGTGAAAACTGAGATAAGTCAGGAAAAGAGTACATCACTTTTTGAAGAAGTGCTACATGTCAAATCTAGGGAACAAAGAGCCTAAAACAGCATCATCAGCCATAGTAACCATCTTGGAGTCTTCTTATTGTTTCTGAGACAGCCTTCCCCAGTCCCTCACACTAATCTAAAACTGCACCTTTTGTTAGCCCACAGTATCCCACTTCCCAAGGAGGTTCAAGCCCTGGTTTTAAGCATCTTTCTTTCTCTAGCCCTTAATACCAGTGGTTCTTATTTACCTTGACTTCAGCAAAGCTCTCAGAACAGCTTCCTCTCGTATCCCAGTAGCCAAATGAGGAAAGTATGGACTTGACTGCAAGACTGCCTGAAGGAAGAAATACTGTCTGGACTGTTGGGCTTAAACAACAGTGATCAGTGGTTCAAAGACTATCAACAACCAGCTACACATGATGTACCTCATGGGTCAATACTGGGGCTGTTTAAAAATGTCATCAATGATTGACGATAGAACATTAGCACCCTCAGCAACATCATGTGTGACACCAAACTGAGGGGAATGGCTGAAAAACTGCAGGGCAAGGCTACCATTCAGAAAGACTGGAGAAATGGGCCTCAAGCAGTTCAACGAAGACAAATACATGTCCTCTACTTGGGGCAGGAGATGTCACTGCAGACTGAGGACTGGCTTAGACAGCTGGCAGCTCTGCAGAACCTGTGGAAATTGAGCATGAGTCAGTAGTGCATCCTCGCAGGAAAAGGTTAATGACATTCTGCCCTCCATTAGCAAGAGCATATCCAAGAAGTCAAAGAAACTAGTGATTCCTCTCTAACAGCACAATACATAAGAGATGCAGTCAAATTGCAGACAATCCAGTAAACATCAAGTAACATGACCGACGAGTTGGAGAATATGGCCTATGAGCAGCAGCTGAGGGAACTGTCTTGGCTGAGCTTGGAGAAGCAAAGGTTAACTGCAGTTTTCTACCACCATGGAGTGGGAGGGAAGAAGAGTTACAGAGCAAATGAAGCCAGATTCTTCATAGATATGCACAACAACAGGACATGGGGCAATGGCCAAAAGTTGCAAGAAAGGTAATTCTGTTTAGAAATCAGAAAAGCATCTCTCGTGTGGAAAAAGGTTCTGCTCTGGAACAGGCAGTGTAGAGAGGCTGTGGAACTTCCATCCTTGGAGCAGCCTTGGAACACCCTGAGCAATCTGATCTAGCTTTAAAGACAGCCTTGCTCCCAAACTTCAGTTTTCTTCATTTCTGTAAATTCCAAGTGACCTCACCAGAGGAATAAATCTGGCTACCAAATCTAGGCTCATTGTTGTAGACTCTTCACTTTTATCCTGATCTCTTCTTTTCTCACACCACCTCATGGACATCCAACCATCACCTCAAACTAAACATCTTCAAAAATTTATTTTTTTTTGTTATCAGTGCTGACACCAGCAGTGATGTCTGTCACTCACAGCCTAGACGAGCCATCTACAATCTGCTTAAATCTCACTGATTCATCCCTTGTCATATCTGAGATCTCAGCTACTTCACAACCTGGTCACTCGCCTCAACAGTCATAATCTTGCCTTGATCTTCATGGAAATGTTGGGAATTGAGAAAGACATTTTGCCCATGCCACTTTCTGTCGCTCCTTCTCTGCATCCTGCCTGCCTTTTCTCTACCATGTCACATAAGACTGCTTTGCCTTGATGACTTTCCATGGCTATCATCACATCTAAATATTAAGACATCAACTGGTAATTGGACTGTAGTGACAGGCTTATTGCCAACATGCATTTCTATTATGTCTCTAAGGTAAATATCCATGAAATTAATGCATTCTTCTACTATAAGGCCTCCTTTAAAAATTGTCATTTTGCAATATCCCCAGGCGTGGCAACATCCCAGTTAGGCTGGGATATGAGGTGACATATCCTGACCGGTACTAACAGTTTTGTGTCATTGTATTCTTTTATTTCCCCTTTTGTCTGTCTCTGTTGATTTTCTCTTGTCTTAGTTTCTGTTATGGGCTAACTACAATATATTAAAATCCACAGGAATCGGGAGAGAAGTAAATGTTAGAGAAGTAGTCCAATTTCCCAGTCAGTTTCTGACTTCTTAGTTTGGTTTAACTCTTCACAGCCCAGTGTTAAATTAGCCACTTTAAAATGATATAATTTGATTAACAGCTATGAAAAATCTCCAGATCTCCAGGCACTCAACCACAGGAAAACTGCTTTAAAGCACTGATGAAATTAGCTCACAGACCTAACAGAGCTGATTTCAAGTACATTTGAATCAACTGCCTTTAGAATCGTGGCACATTTTTAATGACTACTTAAGACAGTGGGGCTTTGCCAAACACAGGATGTTTTAGAAGACAAGATTTTTCACATTTTCATATTAGACGAGCCTCCACAGGTACTTTCACAGAAAGTGATGTCCAGCTTGAATATCTAGATACTTTTCAGCACTTAATACATGGCACAAGCCCAGTTTTGAAATAATTGTATAATTCAAACATGTAAGGATTGATATTCTGCAAACCCACATACACGTATGCTTAACTAATCCCATCAACTGTATAAGCATTTGCAGAAACTGTCCCTGTGGTATTGAGTGTATTTTACTTCAACCATAAAATCTACAATAACCTGCTGCAATCATATGGCTGGAAAAACGCCCAGTCCACATTTAAATTCTAACAGAGGGCAGAACATCAGAAGTAGGAGCAATAGAATCTACTTTTAAAACAATCACTGATACCATGTGCAACTAATTCTCCTTCACTGGGAACAGAACCAGCAATATAGGTTACTCTATAGATCTAGTTAATTATGAGCAAAACCAGCAAAAGCTACACTGAATCCAAAGAATTTGGGCTTTTCCCAGGAGATTCTTCATTATTCTCTTGAGAGAATATGTGTTTGCAGAGCCCCATGCCTATGAAGACTTCATTGATGAGGAAGACCAATTATGACCCTCTCATCACTACTGAGGCTTACGGACAATACAGACAAAAATGTTTTGCTTTGAAAAGTCAGCCTATAATAGAAACATCTGATCTAATCTGCAATTTCAGAACTTTAATTTTACCTTAATTTTTTTAAATTAAACTTATTTTAAATTATTATAAAATTATTTTTAAAAATCAGCAAGAGTTTGAGTCTACAAATGTCTTTTCTTGAACAAAACAGAAGAGTTTAATTTCAGAAATGCACAGATTGCAATGCTCTCCTTAGAATACCTGGCCTGTCAATGACCTAAAACTTGCCTTTCCAAGATTCTACATAAAGATATTGAAAGCAATTTTATTTTTAACCTGAACTATGACACTTACAAGTTTAGATAATTTCAGATGTTTACATTTTGTTTTACACTATCTCCCAAAGTAATGACTCTTACAGTTTCAAGAAAGAATTCCAGCTCCAGTGGTACCCTGATTTCACTGCAAATACTAGACTGCACAAACACTATAATATGCAGTACTGAGGACACCTCTTTGTATTCAAACAAAAAGGAACTAATAGCCGGGTAGGACCACAGACAGCAGAGCTGGAAAAGGTCCAATATACTTGTACTCTGAGAGAAAGAACAGCCTAACTGGCCAAGAATAGGACTGAGAAACAAGTAACTTTCAAATGTAATTTCAACTATATTACTTGATTCGTGGCCTTATAAAATCTATTTTGAATCATGTTCACCAAATGGCACAAGAGGTAATAGCCCACACTGTCCTGTCCCATAAGAATTACCTAATCAGAGCACTTGCGGTTCATATTAATATTCCTAATCTCTCTGGATCGGTGAAACTTGACCTCTTTTCCAACCTAGTAGGTGAGATTTAACAGGATCAGGGGAAGATGCCCAGAGGAAGCTCAACTATGAAGTTGCTGGTTATGCTTGGGGCTTTATGAGAAAGTACATAAGTCACTTGACAAGGAGACGGAAACATGATGACAATATGAGCCACTAAATGAAAGATTTTCCCACTGTTTTAGCATCTGAAGTTCTGGTACAAGCACAACAGAAAACACCACTGCTTTTCTGCTTCCTGCTTTGAAATAAAGGATCAGAGAGAGCTGCTGTGTCTTGTGCAGACTTCTCTATGGAAACTCATAAAACCTCTACTGAACCAGATCCTGGAGTAAACTAGATAAAGAAACATAGAAGTTAGAGAGGCCAGCTACACATAGGTAGAATCTTTCTGCTCCTAGAAGCTTTGCCAATGGAATTTAAATTGCTCTGGGATCACTGGCTTTTAAAGGTTATGCAATGATTTTGAGAATTGCACTCTGCCAAAATAATAATTTAAGAAGATTATAATACTCTAAATTTGGCCAGCTTTACATTGAAACATCCCACTTGCTTTTTCTTGTCTCTGTAAAGGTCTACTGATCAAAACCAGACATGATATCTTGTAACAGTCAGAGTCTTCTTACCTCATTTTTCTTATCTGTAGCTATACTTCACTAAATGTTTGCTAATACATTAAACAGAAAACGTTATAGTAAGTACTTTTCACCTAAAAAGAATATCAAGTGTACACTTGATCCCTTAATTAAGTAATGTGCTGGACTTTGGAGCAGCAGGTCTTTCTGTCATAATCCTTGCTTAGTAATCAACGTTCTTTTGCACCAGAGCATGAAGTCATTCAACAGTTCAAACACAGCTCCTGCATCAGCAAAAGTACTATTTAACTACTAACTGAATGGGTCCCTACCACTCATCCAAAACTACTTGTCAGGATGTTTTCGTTCTCTAGCAGGGTACTGTCTTCTTTGATGAGCAGCTCCCTCAGCTGATGAATCTTCATTCACCAGAAAATCTTCCTTTCTCAGACACCATAATTCATTAACATCCTCTTCATCCCCCCTAGCAGTCCTCAGGAAGGGGATTCCACATCCGTCAAAAACATATTTTAAAGTAAGATCATAGAAACCCCCTCCCTGAAGCACCTTTGTCAGAGTCTGCCGGGGCAGATCACAAGACTACACAGTCTCTATCCAACTTGCTAATACAAATACATATCCAAGATGCTGCTCTAAAATCTACCCTCATCTTTTTATTTTCCTCCTAGATAATTTAACAGTCTCTGGAACAAACATACAGAAGAAACAATCCATCATAGTCTGCACCAGCTGCAAAGAGTGACTGACCAAGTAATCAAGGAACATTCAATAAGAGAATGAAGACAACCCACTCACTAACCAAGCTGTGGTGTGACAGCTCTCAGAGCTGGCAGAGTTCCTTCACTAGGAGGCGTTTTCACTCAGAAGGACAGCTGATGAAATCACTGCCCAAAAGACAACATTCAGACTACTTAAAATGAAAGAAAAGGATGGCAAACCTAATAAACGCGTTAGAGATGGGAAAACCTTGACATATAACTAAGCAGTAGAGCTTAGCAGTAAAGAAGGCTTAATGCTTAGACCTTCATCCCATAAACACTTCTCAGAGTCAAGAGTACTTTCAGCATAGTCACTACCGACTAAATAAGTCAGATCTTAAACTCTGTGGGTGAAATTCTGTTCTATGGAAGTTTCTTGGGAGAG